TACTGTAAATTACAGTGTTTTATGCACCTTCGAACATGCAAAAAAAAGCACCCACGGTCTGCAAATCAGCTGGCCCCCCCCCCCCCCCCCCCCCTTCCCTTTCGGTAATACTTCCAAGCGCTACAGCGCTTTCCGTCATCTCCATCAGATTCATCTAGAGAGACATGTAAATGTCAGCGTGTCCATCGATCATCTATAAATGTATAAGAACTCTTCAACCGAGGCCCTTTTCCACCCAAGTCTGTCATGGACAAAAATCTGATGATCTCCATACATACGTCTCCAGTTAATCTACGTCTCCTCTTTCACTTTCCCTTCCAAACCCACTCATTCCCACTGTACTCCCCCAACTCCGGGCTTGGCTCCTGCGACCACAGAAAAGGGTTCCGCCCCCACACTGCCGGCAGCGGGGGAGCTGCTGAAGACACCACCAGGCAACATGGCGCACAGCCTCAAGGACCGGCAGAGAAAGAAGGACGGTGACCAAGAAGGGAAACAGTACCAGTTGAAACAAGGAATGTTTGATGCACTCTTCGCGGGGTCTTGAGAGATGGAAAACATGAGGAGACCACCTATGTACGATCCTAGGTTCCAATCCACCAGGCGGTGGATGGGAACTCCGACTCTTCAGCTGTTTTCTGTTGAATATGATCGGACCGAAGAAAGGTCTGTACTTAGGGGGGCCAGGAGACCCAATCTCTCGAAAAGCAGACTTGACGGAAAGCATCGGAATGCTTCCACGACTGGACACTTGTCGTCTTGGGCCCCTTGATGGGCCACGCCCCACCTTCCCTGGCTACACCGCCAAGCCACCGATACTCGCGTGCCAGCACCCCCGCGCTGGTGGGCTGGAGGAGACCTAAGGGTTTCCCCTTCTCCATGACCTGAAGCATTGCCAGAAGACGAAAACAAAAGTTGGAACCACCTATGGGACCTATAGCCTATATTTAGAATTCAATAGTGTTGCCATGCTACGCCTGGGGGCCTCTGCGCCCAGACGAATCCGAAGCGAACGAGCCCTCCAGCACGCAATCTTTCACAGTAAACAGCCACCCCATCCACCTGAGTCATCCTGAGTTCACCTCAGTCCACCTGTCAGCTCAGTCCGGTCATTTTCGGTCCTTCGGCTCGCTGTCACCCGTGCTCCGTTGTCTTTGAAACACCTGGAACACCCTCAGGTCCTCGGACGGGGTTCCGCCAGCTTGTCTCAGCCTTCGGAGCACCTGCGCCGCGTGACGCGACCACGCCGCGCCGGAAAAGCCCGCGCGGCGGAAAAGCCCGGGGTGGTGCGGGGAAAGAATCAGGTGGGGCTCAATGAAACTCACAGTTCTTCCGATGGTTTCAGGATGTGTCAGGTATGTTCAGGTTCCACATCCAGATCCAATCTCCTGGTGGTATTTTTGGGAAGCCTTCTTGGGTCAACATCCAAGTCCGCGTCCTGTCACGCCATCCAAATCCAAAATTTCAAGGCTTGATCGACATCCAAGAGGGGTTTCCCAAACCAGTGCTGGTTTACAGAGAAGATGGATGAAACTAATGCCTAATTATATGAAGTGAGTTGAACACATTTAAACAAGTGCCACAGAACTGAATATGCTACATCGCTTAGAGTCTTTAGGGGCCATCAAAAATTGGCACCTACCAACACCGATGAACTGTTGAACTCAGCTCCTCCTTCTCCTCTTCCACCGAACCCGTTCGAAGCACCTGGCGCGGCCCGGAAGAAGTTCACAGAGCCCTGGTGGATCACGTAGATGGCGCCATCCACGTGGTTCCCCTCAACGAGTCGACATGGCATCCAGTGGTCAGACGTGTTGGACGGTTAGGCATGCATCGCGGCAGGACACGCGGACATGCGGACGTCGGGGCGTTCCCGAAGGAAGACCCAAAAAAGCCCATCTTGGACAGCCCGTGACGTTGGAGTCTAGTTCTCTCTCTGAGGATTGGCCTTCCACATCTCCACATCTTGGAAGGTTTTAACAATCCACCTTTTGCTGTGAAGATGCTGGGGTTAGGCCAACCGACCCTCTTCGGCCACATGCCTGTTCCATAAAAATGGTGCGCAGCTCCCAGTCCATGAAAAAGAATCTAACTCCAGCACCGCCTTGGATACTATTTCCCACGCGTCCGCAGTCACCCACAGCCCTGGTCCCGAGCCTCGCGCAGAAAGACGTGGCCACCGGGATATTTTCGCTTGACGAACATGTAGGTTGCATGGGACCTGGGCAATGGGCAATAAAAAAGTGCACCTGAGGTGCCAACATGCCAACATGCCATGCCCCAAGGACTGGCGGCGAGAAAATGTGACTCCCTCCCTGCTCAGGTCCCAAGAACGACCTGTTTGGAGGATCAATTCAGCTGATTTGGCCAAAGGAAGGGCATCCCTCATCATTTTCTTCGCATGTGGTCCTCCTTCGGTCCTTCCATCCTTCAGACCACCTGGGTCGCCGTACTTCCCAGTGATCGGCACAAAGTGGCGGGCATGGTCACGAATCCCCACCAAATGGGTTTGAAGGAACCTCAGGAGCCGAACAAAAGGACGACAAAAACTGAAGAGCACTACAGTATCATATCCAAGCCAAATCCATTCATCAACCCATCCAAATCCATGTTATACAACATGCCTGCTTGAAAAGGACTTCTTGCTCCCATCAGGATTACCAAGATCACCATCCAACAAGCATGCTGAACTTGTGAAGCTTGCCACAAGCAGAATTCCGCACCAGTTGCCAGCACCAGTGCAAAAAGGTGCAATGTGCTAGCTGCTAGTAGGGACTCCAAAAATTATGAAAAAATATGAGAAGGCGTTCGAAGCCAAAAAAAGAATCTATGCCAGGCTCCATGATTGGCCCCCGAATCAACCTCCAGTATGTATCACACTTCAAGGTTTCTGTCCGTCTGTCCTGCCCCTCGTCAGCTCCAAGCTTCCGGAGCTTCCAAAGTAGGAACACAGTTTTAGTATATTTTAGTATTAGATACCAACAGGTTGCCTAGGCACCCTTATGGAGAAAGTTGCCCCTAGCTGCCCGAATTTTAGACCATAGCAAGGGATACAGTATTTTTCTCCAAGAAGCTTGTCCTTCTCCACCCAGTCGCGAGACATACTCTCCTTCACCAATCTCAAGAAGTCCTGTTTCCTGTCAGCCGCCCGGATGGCCCGGGCGCCCGCGACGCGACGCACGAGCCGACTCTCCGGCGCCGTTCGTCCGGGGGGCGGAGGGCAGGCTCCTCATCCCGTTCCAGCGACCTTGACGGGTGAGTGGTCAACGCCTACCAAGACCCCCCAGGCAGGACCCACCTAATAATAGGGTTATACCCGCACAAGGCCATGCCCACGATCGGTTTTTCCATTTCTTTCTCTCACACAGCGCCGCAGGCGCCGTCTTCACGACAGTCTTCGTCCTGATGATGATGGCTTCACAGGCTTGCGAACACGCCGCAGTGGTGGAGCGCGGCTGGTTCTGCATCAGCTCCACGACGCCTTTAAGTTAAGAGGGACGAGCTGCGCTGACACCAACGGTGTAAAGACACAAACAACCAGAAACAAATGGTTGTCCAATGTTGTCCACACAAATATGGCATATGAGATTCTTTAAATTGCATCACAAGTGTACTTGGGACTCGGACCGGGGGAAGCATCCAAATGTTTCTGGTTGGGGCCGGGTGTCTAGGTACAGTTCAAATGACGTGTTTTTTCCGAAGGCCTGGATCCCTCCGGTGGCCAAAGAGACGTGGTGCCGCGCCGAAAGAACATGTTTCTGGTATCCGAATGCAGGTCCTCAATCAAAACCTTTTTGACCTACTCCCAACATGCGAAGCCCAACCCCAATAGGAATCCTAAAGCTCGGGCAGCAAGCCTATAGCTCGACCAGGATGGATCACATTCACACACTGGCCAAAGTCGACCGCCTGGCGTGTGGAATGCCGACATCAAGCGCCAGACATGGCAGTCACTTGCTGTCAAGCGACACTGCGACACAAAGCACATGCAACCGGTGATCACACTGCGGCTTGGAAGCCCCTCGTCCTCTTTCAGGGAGAACACGGAAAAGGAACGAAGAAAACTACACCAGCATAGGCCCAGATAGCTAGGCAGAATCCCACGACCTGTTGACATACGACTGGCTGGAACAAGAATGTACGCAGCCTGCATAGCCAGCGTACGATAGCGTACGGCACCTCCACAGCGCGCACAATCAGCTGACACCAGCACCGGTGCGCTTTGCCAGCTGACAACACCGGCAGGTCGAGCGCCGCCGCCCGCCTTAAACGCGCGCTCAGCCAGCTGACAGCACCAGCACCCAGGACCACAACACCAGCACCAGCACCGACACCCTTTCGAAAGCGCGCGCAGCCAGCTCAATCTTATTTGCAGCAAGAACCCCATAGCGATCCCTATTTGGGGAATAACAACGTATGATCTTGCGCGTATAAGTTTATGCGCACAAAAAGTATGCGCGCAAACAGCAAAACCCGTAAGTGTCATTGGCCCAAGGCCAAGCAGTATCCAGCACGACTATTGTGTGTGTAGCATGCTGAAACAATTTTCGGTTGAGAGCCTGACGTTGCGCATAGAACATGATACGTACAAAAGTATGCGCGCAAAGAGTACAGCCCTTGACACGGCTGTCGGCCAAAACAGAACCTGAAGAGTGTAAATACCCCACAGCGCTAATGGACAAAGAACGCTCAAGCGACAACACCGTATGATGTTGCGCGCATAAGTTCATGCACTTCATTGTCATATTGTGGTCGCCCTTCACTGCTGCAAGCGGCGGTTTGTTACCCTTCACTGTCAGAAGCGGCGGGTGCACAGCCAGCTCACAGCACCAGCACCAGCACCGGCACCGGCACCCGGCACCAGCACCAGCAATCTGTCTCCACCACATGCACAGCCAACTCACAGCACCAGCACCAGCACCGGCACCCAGCACCAGCACCGGCACCAGCAACCTGTCTCCACCGCGTGCACAGCCAGCTCACAGCACCAGCGCCAGCGCCAGCACCGGCACCAGCAACCTGTCTCGAAAGCGCGCACGGGCAACTCATTGTTATTTGAAGTAAAAAACCCATAGCTTCGCTATCTGGGGAAAAACCACCGGACGGAGAAAAAGAGATTGCGTTGTCCCCATGTCCAGATGTCCACTTTGCTCCCATCCGAGGCCGGAAAAACCAGGTGCCACGCCACGCCACGCGACGCCACGCGATGCGGGACCTCGATGCCCTGTATCGATGGACGCTTCATCGACAGGGACTGACGTCGAGGGGATGCTTCGCCCTCAGCCTGGGGCAACGCGTTTGGACTCCGGCGCTTTCCCGACCCGGAGCGGCGGAGGGGCGATCTGGTGCCGCTGCTTTGGATCTCAACGAGCTGGTTTCGGAGGTTGCATGGGTCGAGCGGTTGCGCAGGGGTTGATCGTACGAGCTGGTTGCGAGTCCGGTGGGGTGATCTCACAAGTCGGAGTTGAGCCAAGCGGCTTCAGGGTCAGAGACCCTGTTGAAGCACTTCACCTGACTTCCACGGACCCGTGTGCTGCTGCACCAATGAGAGGAGAGAAAAAATACACATCCGGATCCTTTGGGATTGGATGATCGGATGATAAGGCTAGGGGCAAAGGCACAAAGGTCAGCAAATTGAACATCTGGATGTCTTACTCCTACAGTGAATCTCATAAAGGCCCAAGACCTGCTTCGCAAGGCTCGAAGGCTTATATAATGAGCTCCGACCACAGGCCTATTCCATAACAAAGTACAAACATCATCTGAGCTGGCTTGGCTTCGTAGGCCAAGCTTCCGCTGTCACTTCTCAACTTCTCAACTTCTCAACACTTGGAGCGCTTGGAGCTCTTTGGGGTATCCCAGCTGGCCTCTCCCTCCACCAGCAAGTAGATGTCCTTGCAGGATTTTTCAGAGTGGTCCGGATCAGCCCAATTCCCTCGCCCAACAAAAATTCCAAAACATGTGCCAGGCTCGAAAAATGTGTCATTGTTTATCTACCTATGCCACACGCCCCGCATCCTCTGGCTGGCCCCGGAGGACTCGGAAACCGGATCGACGGCTCCTCCGGTGGATCGCCCTCGCTGAAGAGAAGTGTTCCTGGAGAATACGAGACCTGCGAGAAACAGTGTACACAATGAATACCTGTGTTTTGGGATTTTTTTGTGTACTTTTTCTGTGTTTTTTTCCTGTTGTTTTCTTTTGCAGCCATGACGAAACCTGGAAGGGTTGAGATTTGGGAACTGCCCGTGCTGTGGTGCTTCAAGGAGGGTGGTGAGGACACCACGGCTCATGCCAGACTGAGCATGTATGTGCACTTGGAGCATGTTGTTCCTTCAAAATGTGCATTGTTAGGCGGGGACATCAGCCGCAGCAGTGCTATCCGCACCTGTTCAACCACTGCCACCAGCTCATCCTTTAAGGAGGCTGAGAGCTCCTGGCACAAGTCTTGATTCGCACTTAAGATGCCCACGCGACGAAGTCCACATCTCAAACTCGCGGACCAACCTCTCTTGACTGGGCTACCCTGGCGGCCTCTTTTGGCCTCTTTCGGCCTCAAGCTGCACCTCGACCTGGCAACACTCCCAGGTCATCAGTGTCCTTGAAGAGCTCAAAGGCAAACAGTTTCTCTTTCAGCAGCTGCCGAGCGCGATCGGCTTTCGACATGGGGCACGTGCAAAAAAGCCCGGCTCAAAGGCTCACAGCAGTGGAGATTTCTTTGGCTCAACGTCACGCATCAAAGCAAGTCTGAAGTTTGTGTAAACGTCTTTTTGCGCATAAGAGATGTTGGCCTTGGTTGGCCAGCTTTAATGAACCTGCCACCTCGAAGGGCAGTATACCATCCTTCTGGCACTATACCATGCTCTTACACCCTGCAAGTGATGTAATGATGCAAGGATTCAGCCCAGGCCCTTGAAAGTGAAGGCGTCGCTTTCATCTGCCGTCCCTTGTGACCCCAACGTCCTCTCTTGTACCTTGCTCTTGTGACCCCAACGGCTGCGAAGATCACTAGATGTTCCGTGATGTTCCATGCAGTTGTGAGCCTCAAGAGGATCAACTGCCAGCTGCTACTTCACCACTCTATTGAATTATGTCACGTCATGGCAAGTCGACACGATTGAATTTGGTCGGCATGCATACGCTCCAAACCCAAGGACGGCTCAGGCGGTTCTCAGGTTGGCCGCTGGCATGTTCAAGTCAAGTCTGGCCGCTCACAGCCCACGCAGCTTTTTGGCACATATCGCGGTGCGATAGGTGCTACCCAACACTCCCCAGATCCCCGTCAAGTCTGGACTTCCGGTAGCCCATCTGCCCAGCTCACAGTAGCCATGTCCTCTCCCTGATCTGTTCCTCCTTGGCCTGGAACACCAGACAACAGTGGCTGAAGGTTGATGGGGCCTACGCCGTAGGGCAGTAGAGCAGTGGGATGGGCATGCTTAAGGACTCCAACACCCCAAGCCCAGACTCCCACTGGTCGGAAGTCGCCCAGGTGAAGAGCCACAATTCAAATGGGCGGTGTATTTGTCAATCAAGATTCTACATGCGAAAACATAGTACACTATACTGTTACTGCGACAGAGGTATTCATAAAAACATCAGATTTGGACTTCAGAGACCCTGGTCTTCGCTCACTTCATCCACGCCTGGCGCAAGGCCTCCGGGGCTGGGTAGCCCTCCATGAAGGTCACGTCCACCTGGGTTGAGGGGGCGAAGAAGGGAGAGGAAAGCGCTCAGTGCTGCCACCATAGTACTCATCTGGCAGCTGACTGGTCAAACGTGAATGAATCTCTCAACATCTTATGTGTTTGCCGAGTGTGACACCGTTGATCGTAAAGTCATGCGGTCCGGGTGCAAAAAGGGACCTCCCAGTTCGACCCCCGTGGAAGAAGGAAAATAGACCAGAACCCGTTGGTTGCTGATTGAAACAATTGGGTGTGTTAATCTCCATGCCACACCGCATCATTCAAACAAAACCTGTTCGATGGCTCGCGCTTGGCCCCGCCCAGCAGCACCCCATCCTGGCGGGCCTCCCGACCGTCTCCATGCCTGCAGCCACTGCAGACTGCAGTCCGCTCTCACCGTCTTCATAGGCCCGGCACTTGGTCGGGTCCACGCCCAGGCGTCGTGCCGCCTCCAGGTAGATGGCGGGATCTGGCCTGGTCTGAGACTTGGTACATGGGCGTTTCCACTTGCCTTTTTGGGTGCACGGGCTACCAATTGGAGGTGGCCCGAATTGGCTACGAAATCGTCTTCCACTTCTCCACTTTAGTCTCACTTTTGGTGAAGCAGCCCCCATCGAGGAAAACCAGCAAAGGACAACGGCCTGGAAAGCGACATTGGCTCGCAGGGTGGAGGGATGGAATGATCACATGAGACTGCGACTATAGTGGAAAAGTGGAAGCCAAATCGTAGCCAACTTAGGCAACTTCTCAAGAAATGCACACCACCCATGCACTACAGTAAGTCTGAAGTGCTCTGAGGTTCTCGTTTCTGGGTTGCTGCACTCATCTGGGGGCCCCGGCTTCCCCTTGGGCACGTCTGAGGCAAAAACCATGCACCTCAAAGTATTTGATACCGGTTTCCAAAACAAATTGAAACATTGTTTACTGTAAATCTATTTGAAGGTATCGGTATCATATACCCATCCCTCATAAAGTATACATATTATATATACATACAGTATGTATTTTTGTGTTCGCCGGACCCAGGCTAACTCTGAGAATCTTGAAAATAATCAAAATGCAAAATAAAAGCAAAACAGAAATGCAACAAAAAGAATCAAAAAGTAAAAAATGCAAATGAAAAAAACAAGTCAAAACAAAAAAGTCACAAACAAAAAGCAAATGAAAAAGCAAAAGCAACCAAAAAAATAAGCCAATGAAAAAGCAATGGCGTCCTATTGTGTTCGCTTGTTTACTTTTTTTTTTGGGGGGGGGGGGGGCGTCCTTGTTTCGCGGTTTGTCCGCTTTTTGTTCGCATTTTGTTCGTTGTTTGTTTTTTTGTTGTTTCGCTTTGGCGCCTTTCGGGGGCGCTCTGTTTTCTCGTTGTTGCTTTCTTTTGCTGCTTAGATGTCTTTTTTTGTTGGTGCTTTTCATTTGCTTTTTTGTTTTTTTGATTTGTTTGCTTTTGCAAACCATCAATATATTTATATATGCATATAGACCCCAGGATTTCTCTCTTCTATCTATTTGAATTTGGAGTTTATATATACCCTCCATCCACTGCAAAACACTTCACATGACTTCACTGGGAGTTTTTTGCCGTATAAAAGGCGCCAGCGTACTCGGCCCCGGACTCGGCTGGGACTAAATCTTTAAGCCCGGCAGCCTCCAAGTGCTGCAACCTGGGGCGGTGTTGAAACCAGGGCCTCGTCTGCCCCATGTGGCACGCAAATTACAGAACAGCAGCTCAAAAATGCTCAAAGCTCACTGATATAATTGCACTGCCAAAAGCTTCTGTCATCAAATGTGGGTCTTGACGATCATAACCGAGCCACGGCCCCAGACCCACGCTGATCCAAGGGAACTGTCATAGAGGTGCCCGTTTGCCCGGTCCGGGTGAGGTCCATCTCAGTGCCCGGCACGATCCCCTTGATGCCCGAAGTGGCGATGGCCACGGGAATCCCACGCCTGCGCTTGGACCGAGAACGGCACACGGAGAGAGCGTCCATCTTTCGACGCCAATGCCGAGGAAGGCGCTGAAAAAAACGGCACAAATCCATAAAAGGTGTTGAACGCTGAAGCGACGCTACCAAAGAAAAACCAAAGAGATGAAAAACGGCCCACGGCGGAAGGAAGGAATGGGTCCAGTGGATCCGAGAGCCGGGGTGTTTGACATGCGCCATTGGCATCCATCAGATCCCTGGCAACTGAAGATCAGTGGTGGAGAAATGGAATCCCAAATGGGCGCATAATGAAGTCCAACTGCTGAACCAAAAGGTCGGGCCAGTTCGTTTGGAATACTACGATCACTTTACGCGATGTCGCATGGTGAGACAGTTACATCGTGCTGCAACATGTAAGCCTCGGCTTCACCGTGTGCGAGCCTCACTCTAAGTGCTGACCATTTCCCGGGAGAAAAACGACACAGATTCATGCATGTGCGATCATTTGCACCTTGTCTTTAGCGAGGAATTGTTCTTCTCTATGTACTTGAGCAGCTAACTGAACGAGCGTCCTTTCAAAGCATGCGAAATGGTACGTCTCCAGCGCAAAATAACAGTGGCGCTTGCTTGTGACTCGTGCCTGTGATGCGAGCGGAATGCCACACTGGTGAAGATCATAGACAGGTTGAGCAGCCCTTAGCCTACCATAGCCGGCCCAGCACCGGTCGCAGTGTATGTTGCCCTTGGTGGAGCAGGTACCGCTCGCAGCGTCTCGTGATGCGTTTTCCTGCTGAAGCGTTGTTGGTGTCCGGTGTGTGTCAGCCCCTGTAGCCAAGGATGTTGCACAACCTAGTTCACCTTGAATGGACACATGCAGGGGGGCAGTGATCCTTTCAACAGTCACTGCCTAACAAAGACACTGTTGATCGGATGTGATATTCGGAGAGGACGCTCTCTGAACGTACCTGCAACCTTCACTTAGGATTTTTGCTGAAGCCATACTGTTCAGGCCGACTCCTTCACCTTGCCGTTCTGCTCAAAGCTGTTACAGGTCCAGGTTCCAGCGCTCTAGATCGGTAGTGCCATCGCTAAACTGGAACTTCATTCACTGACTCAGCTCTTGCGAGCACCAATCTAAGTGTGTGTTGCCACAGAGTCCCACGGAGGGCTGTGGTGTGATCCCCATCGAGGGGCGCAGCATGTGCATGGACCCAGACTTGGGGGCCCCTCACAGATCGTTTCTTCTATCTTCCGGTGACCTTCTCTCGGGCTCTCACTAGCTTGCGGTTTTGCACGAGATTGCCGATCGAAACCGCAGGGCTTACTGCGATCAAACTCCAGACCGGATCCTCACATGCTGCTAGGTGGGCGGGGGGGACACATGCGGCTAAGTAGTCACTTTTCGGTTCTTTCCTTCCTGCTGTTGCTCTTCGTTTTCTAGTCCTTTTTTCGTTTTCTAGAGGCTTTTTAGGTTTAACGGAGGCTTTTTCAGTCAAGGGAGTACCGGTTACGGCTTGTGTCACGCCTTCGGGCAAGCACACCCACACACCCACCCTACGCCCCCGCACGCCCTGCACCTTTCTCTTCTTTTCTTGCCTTTTCGTTTGCCTTGTTCTTTCTCTCAGTCTTGGTAGGTGGACATCCTCGTTTAGTCAATGCACACCCTGCCCACCCCTGCACCCCTTGCACCTTTCTCTTCTTTTCTTGCCTTTTCGTTTGCCTTGTTCTTTCTCTCAGGCTTGTTAGGTGGACATCCAGGCTCGTTTAGTCAACGCACTCCCTTTCCCCCCCCCACCCCCACCCGCGAAGAAAAAAGAGAGCGCGCCGGACTCCCGGCTTTTTGTGTGTGTCAGCCCCTGTACCCAAGGATGTTGCACAACCTAGTTCACCTTGAATGGACACGTGCAGGGGGGCAGTGATCCTTTCAACAGTCACTGCCGACTGCCTAACAAAGACACTGTTGAACGTACCTGCAACCTTCACGTAGGATTTTTGGTTAAACCATACTGTTCAGGCCGACTCCTTCACCTTGCCGTTCTGCTCAGGGCTGTTACCAGGTCCA